GTAATGCCAAAAGTAGCTCTTAGGTAAAATTTGAACTCTCTTACTCCAAAAAAACCAAAGGTATACCATTTCCGATCAATCAGTTATATGGCAGCTATAGGATATAGTCGGCCGATCCGGGCCGTTCCGACTTATATACTGCGTGCAAAGGAAAGAAGGGTGTGTGCAAAGTTTCAAGACGATAGCTTTAAAACTGAGAGACTAGTTCGCGTAGAAACAGACAGACAGACGGACAGACGGACAGACGGACATGCTCATATCAACTCAGGAGGTGATCCTGATCAAGAATATATATACTTTATAGGGTCGGAGATGTCTCCTTCACTGCGTTGCACACTTTTGACCAAAATTATAATACCCTCTGCAAGGGTATAAATATGTCGTGTTTATGAAAGTTTAGTGACATCTGGAACCACTTTAATGATTTGGAAAACTAGCAAGCCAAGTGCAATTTTTGCAAGTCCATTTTAAGCTGCAAATCTCAAAGCAATTTGTCCCGACATTTGAAGAGTATGCATACAGAGGAACTTCATCCCGTAACCCGCCAAAACGATGACGACATTGTGGTTGCTGTGCAAAACGCGCAGCCAAAGATCTCAACATTTGTGCACAGGCCTGTTTCGCATTATAAATTCCACTGCCTCGACAAGCAAGTGGTTCGAGTGATGGCCAAAGGTCAACACGCTTTGCGATTGGTAGATGAGCCGGAGTTCAAAAAGCTGATTTACGAAGTTTGGAACTGCCCTGGTTACCCGCCAACAAGGAACACTTTAACCAATGCTTTAATTCCAAAACTTCGAGATGAGCTTAGAGGAATCATAACTGAGAAGCTTAGAGAAGCAAAAGTGGTTTGTTTGACCATAACTGGATGGACCTCTTTAACAAAAGAGAGCTATATGGCCCTCACCGTTCATTTTATCGACAAAGAATCAACAAGCCTCATTTCATTTATTTTAGCTTGCCGATCATTCCCAATCAGACACACTTCTGAAAATCTTTGCCGATTTTTGCAGACCATCATTTTAAAATGGAACATTAAAACAAAAGTAGCGTCAATAGCAAATGTCCATCAGACAATGCAGCAAACATTGTTAAAGCCATTCAACTATGCAAGTGGCGACATATCGGGTGCTTTGCTCTAGACAGTATTGGAGGACAAAATAGCTCAATATTTTAACAGTAGCTCAGCTGGATTAAAGAAATTGGGAGAAATGGAAATATTGTTGAAATTGCCTGAGCTTAAAATTAAGCAAGACGTTATAACACGATGAAATGGAACACTCAAAATGTGTAAGCGTCTCCTACTTTCGCCACGTTATCGAACCTGCGGATAGACTTAATGTTATAAGCAGAGGATTGGGACGTTATTGAAGGAGTGATTCCAGTACTGCAGCCATTTAGTCAAATATCTATAGAAATCTCAACAGAAAAGAACGTGACTGTCAAAGATAATTGTATTATCTGGACTTTTGCAAAAAAAAGCATATTAGATAATTTTAAATTGGATACAAACCCAACCAATGACGACTTCATTGAATGCATACAAACTGATATGAATACTTGCTTTCAAGATTATGAATCAAACATTTTGTATGCTGAAAGCACCATTTTGGATCCCCGATTCAAAGGACGTGTATTTAAATCTGAAGAAGCGTAAAAAAAAACCGTTCATAATATAAGAACAAAATTGATATCGTTTCAATGGGCCACTGCTCAGACTGTCAACTAAAACGCATTGAAAATGTCAACGACACCTGGAAGGATTATGACACAACTTTGCAAAAAGTCAGTAAGCCCTCCAACAGTACGGCCGCAGCCATTAGGGAACTAGATAACTATATATAGCCGAGGAATACATTATGCGAATAAATGACCCATTGGTCTGGTGCGATCAGCGGAGAAATCCCAATATTCGCTCTTATACACATATATGCATAAACGGCTTTGTACAGTGGCCACATCTGTGCCACGTGAGCGGATATTTTCAGGGAGGGAGCAAAAGTAATTCCATAAAAAAATGCAGAGATATCAGTAATTCTGAAAATTAAATATTTTAAATTTTTATAATAATAATGATTTCAATGCTTGTAGTATTTAACATTTTTTTAATTCGATAATCCATGAAGGATTTTATTTAACTATATGTTTTGGTCCTTGATAGTTTTCAATGCCAGTAATAGTATAAAAAGCAAATTGTATTAAATTAAACGTTATAAAATCTTTATTTGACCGCATATGAAATAGGGATCTTATATATGTATGTGTGAAATCCAATTTAGGGTGCGAGCGCAATAAGACAACGAACGAGAGAGACGCAAACCGTCGATAATAGGCTGAGCAGATGCTCGCTAGCTTTAGATGCCGAATTAGTAGCTTGATAATGCACTGACAAGTGAACAAGTTCCCCCAAAAGAGTACTATATTTACCCAACACTAGATATAGGGGTTGCATAGAAACTAGAGATGAAACGGATACCGGATATTCGGCCGGCCGAAAGTTTTGCAAAACTCAGCCGTTTGCGTAGACGTTGCTCCAACGATCGGTTGGACTCGGTTCGATTTGGGTCTTTTCGTTGATGAGTGAAGTTAACAGTTGTATCCATGGTACAATGCAGCCGACGAGACTACCTTGTATAGTTTTACCATGTTTTTTATAGTTTTTTTTTGTATCATTCATTTTTAGGTCTAGCTCAAGAAAAACTGCTGACGATCCAGCAAGAGCTAAGTCCACCTGAGCATAGGTTATTGCAAGATATTATCTATTTATGTTTATATGTTTTAAATCAGAGGTCGGCACGGCCCTATCTCGGGGGCATAGGAAATTTCTCTGCCCGAGCTCTGCCACACACACACAGTATACATGTGTGAAACGTCATACTCACAGCCTACTTTCTGCTATTCGTTACTTACACTAATGCGGTAAAATCATATCAATGTATTGGGGTGCCGACCACTGTTTTAAATACATATGTTTATTTTATACAGCTTTTTTTTTAAATCGGTCGGATATCTATCCGGCCCAATTGTAGCTATCCGGTATACGGCCGGATAGTATCATGGCGGCCGGATATCGGATAGTTACCGGATATCCGATTCATCTCTAGTAAAAACCGACGAATAGACTGACCAACATTCCACACTATAATACTGCGTACTATAACTATCCAAAAGTATAATTATGTCGTTTATGCCACACCTAATGTCATACAATTAGAAAAAATATTTTGTCTAGAGACTCAAATTATTTAGATTCACAAAAAGATTCACACTTTAACACTTACGCAAATTTCTTCCAAACTGATAAACTTTTGGCGAATGTTTTTTATCTAAAGCCTAGTACTGTGACGACGAAAATCCGCTGTTGAAAATCCGATAACGATATCGCACTTTATTCAGCTACCGAGCTAGTGTGACCAAAAAAATTAAGAAAAAAGGTAATACTGAACAGCTGTTGTTTGTAAACAAAAAACCAATAAGCAAAAATGAATTCAAATCAATTGGATGTTTGTGTTTTCTTTATTTTTTTCGCCGCTAACGAAATGATTAAGAAATAGAAAACTGTGTCAAAATCAAAATCAATCACAAATCATTTTATGGCATTAAAATGCTCCATGCGGGTCAAATCCTATATTATGGGCTTCGCCCTGACCGCACTAATTAATTGCAATTCATCCTCGCGCGCCGAAAATTTTTCGGGCCGACTATTTTTTCCTTTCATCAATTTTTCCGCCATGTTTTAGCTTTCGAAATAAATAAAATTAGTTCTTTCAACTCCCCGAGATCATCTGTTTATTTTTTTTTGATCCGGCAACGCCATTCAATTCGATAACAAATATTTTCGTCAACACAGTACCCGCAAAATCTAGGAGGCAAACATTTCTTCTTCCTCCTTTTTTTACACCGTTTTTTTTATATGGAGTTTGACAGCTGTCACTCGTTCGACAGCGGATTTTCGTCAACTCAGTACTAGGCTTAAGGTGACTTTACAAATTTTGCGGGAAACATATTTTTGATTATCGATTTTTTTTTGCTTTGTTATGTTGGTACACTGTGCCCTAACATCTGTACCAAGTTTCAATTGAATCCCCTTTTTTGTTTGGTTGTGAGAGGTGTAAAGGTTACAAGTTGTTTTGCGTGCTCGGCAATTTATTGCTATTGAAAAATATGGATCAAAGAATCAAAAAAGCACGCATCGCTGGAAGATCTCAAGGCTATACGGAAAAGTGCTTATGGAAAGTGCTTTGAGGATTGGAAAAACCGTTGGCATAAGTGTATTGTATCTTAGGGGGAATACTTTGAAGGGAACAATATAAACATTGACAAATAAATTAAAAGATTTTCCAAACATCTAAACACCATGACTTTTAAACACCTGGATGACCTGAACCGGCTGCCGGTACCTGAATAGACACCAAGACACGGCGTATGCCTGGCCGGTGCCCTTATTGACGACCAACACGGAACAGCGACGGGCGGATAAGCGCCGATAGGGGAGCTGAGCGGAAGTCTAAAAGGAACAAACATCTGGAGCAGTGTCCGTCGAGAGCGGTAATTGATTTGTAAATAACCAAGGCCATATAATAAAGTCAAGGTCAAAGCCGGCGTGGCCGGCTTTGGTTCTCCGCTCACTACCATAGGCTTGATTGCATCAAAATCAAAATATCAAAATCATAATAGGGGCCCCAAGTTTACCTGTTGCCCCAGGGCCCCCGAGGCTCTAGCTACGGCCCTGGTCAAATCCCATATTATGGGCTTCGCCTTGACCGCACTAATTAGCTTGACTTTATCCTCGCGGGTCAAAAATTTTTCGGTCCGATTATTTTTTTTCTTTAAATTTTCGCTCCATGTTTTAGCTATCGAAATAAATAAAATTAATTCTTTCCACACCCCAAAATCAGCTGTTTATTTTTTTTATCCGGCAACGCCATTCAATTCGATAGCTAAAATTTTCGTCGTCAGAGTACCGGAAAAATCTAGGAGACAAAAATTTCTTCTTCTTCCTTTTTTTACACTGTTTTTTTTTATATGGAGTTTGACACCTGTCACTCGTGCGACAGCGGATTTTCGTCGTCACAGTACTATGCTAAACAAGTAAAAAATTCCTTTCGTAATTTTTCTACATAGAAAAATTATCTAACTAGAACTGTCTAACTAACTCCCTCAGATCAGACGCACAAAGAAAATTTTTAATGTTGTTAATTATATTTATGTATGTATGTTATATGGTGTTTTCACGAGCACGCTAGGGCATGCGGTTCGCCACCATGAAATTAAATGTGTTTCATGGATTGAGCCACTCGAGTCATTGTTCGAGCTTCTGGTTTCTTCCAGCTTAATCCTCGACATCCAGAACTTTTTTAAAAGTCAAGGCTGATGAGATCTAAAAAAATTTCTTCTGTCTGTTAAAAAAATTTGCACAAATATAACTTACTTGTAAAATACCTACAACTTACAATAATACTTACAATACTAAAGTAAATAATACTGTACGAGTACGAGTGAAAAATCTAATTTAAATAAACGAAATACTCACCTTAAATTCCTTAAAAATCACCTTAAATAGTAAGTTATTTTTTTAATTTTTTATTATTTATATAATATAGTTTAATCAAAATTTTAATCGAAATTTTTTATTGATTCACAATGAAATTGGAAATTATCTCAATTTGCTCAGACTCTATATTCTGCAAAAGCTGGTGCTCTCTTTTTAAGCGGTGTAATTTTGAATTTACTTCAAAAATTAAACACTGATGCATACGATGGTTATTCCGGTTCCCACCCGATGTGTTTTTAAGCTGGTTTTGGGTTCCAATGCCACGAATTTTTTCATTGTTAACATCTTTAGCAATCATTTTGGTAATTTTAAATAAACTATATGATACCATTTTAAATGAATCTAATATTTTTGAATATTCCAAGCATTTTTGACGCAGTTTGATTTTCTGGTTACCAATATATGGGTCGCAGACCCGTAGTCTGTAAATCTCGTCAATGTACAGTTCAATTTTTTTTAATTCTTCCATGGCAAAAATAATGCGACTTAATACCATATGTAAAGTTGTTTTGTCATGGTAAGGTGAACGTTGTTATTGACAACAAAACATCCCTGCCCTTAAAGCCTAGTACTCAGATCGACTAAAACTGTTTTCAGGAGTGAGCGAGAGGCAAAAACAGCGTCAGGGGTTGACAGGGTTGACCCCGTACTCAGATAATAAAAATACCTGTAATTTACATGGGGATGCCAACACGCACCAAAGAACATTTTTCAAGTCCCTAGCGAAAAGATTTTAATCTTATATAAGTTATTTTTACTATTGTGAATGCTATGCAGTTTTGCCCAGAAAAAGTGGTAAAATTTTTTATATTGCAGTGTTGTGGGCTTCACAAGGGAACTCTCTAGTACCTGTTCACCACTCATAGGGAATTACATAGTCGCCGTATATGAAAATCGTTTAAGAGTTTTTGTATGAGATGACCTGGAGAATTTTTTGCCCCTTTAATTTCATACAAAGAAAATGGACGCAAAATTTCCTACGACAGGCCCTAGAGCGAGTTCTTACTCTCTTTCTTACGCTCATCGTTCGTTCATCTTACGCTCATATATCTCATTGAATGCTTTCTGATATTTTCGTTTTATGAAATGGGTTGCTGTAGATTAGTGGTACTAGGCATGAAAGACAACGTATACTGAAATGGTTATAAACCAGTGGTCGGCACCCAATACATTGATATCAATTTAAGGAATGAGTATTAGTAAGGAATAGCAGTGAGTATGCTGAGAGCATGACGTTCCATACGTTTTATACTGTGTGTGAGCGGCAGAGAAATATCCTATGCCCCTGGAATAGGGCCCTGCCGACTACTGTTATAAACTTACCCTTTTAAAAGAATAAACACTACACAACGCGCAATTGTTAACATACATAATGTGACCGTTCCGTTTTAGATAAAAATTAAATTTACATTTTTACGTAATGTACTTAAATAAAAACAATGTAAAATTTGTATTAAAATAAAATAGTTACTATAAAAAACCGCAATGTTAAAATGTAAATCTTGAAAAAATAATTTTAGCTTGATTCCAACATTTTTGTAATGTTTATAAAGTCTATAAAAACTTAACAAAAATGTATGTTTTAAAAAACTTTATAAACAATACAACTTTTACTTTTTTTTTAACTTTATTTAATTTTTTTTTTAATTAATTTAATAATTTAATATTTATATAGTTATCTTATCAAAGTCTTGAAAAAGTGTTTCGTTTTTTAAGTTCAAACTTCGAACTCAAAAGAAAAAGTATGACTCTTAGTCTCTCACGGTACTGGGATAAGGATGTCTAATAATTGCTACAAGAAATCAAATAAAATTCTCTCCCCCTTTATATCTCTCTTTCTCACTGTCTTTGCATTTTTTATTGCTATTGTTTATTCTTCCTTTGGTTTTTTTCTCCGGACGTCTATGTCTAATTTTAGTGAATTTTCTCCTTCATGATTTTTGTTACTGAAGGGAGCAGAAAGTAGGCTGCGAGCATGACTTTCCATACGTTTATACTGTGTGTATAAGGCAATCTTGGGAAGTAAAATTTCTTATGTCCCTGGAATAGGGCCCTGCCGACCACTGCTTTAAAGTTGAAAGGAGTGTCGAACGACGATAAAACCATATCAGCTGAACCTTTTATATTATTTCTAAGTATTAATAAGGCTTGGTAGCGTTTTGAACTACCTTCGTACGTCTTATATGCGGTGTGCGCCGCTTGCCTCCATGAAACGTACGTCTCATTTTATCCTCGAAGTCTAGAAGGGACTTCATAATATCTAAGGTTTCATAGTGTATAATACCTATTCTGATTTTGGCATCCCTATATACACCACCTAAGCGTTTCTGAAAATCCTATAATTTTTGTTGGAAACAATTTTTGCGCGACGAGAGCGATTGCAACTGCGCCTTCCATAATGGCTTTTAATTGCTTGTTTTTCATTGCCATGTCTAAATTATTTTTATTTTTTTGGAAATGTTTCAGTGTGTTTTTTTGTATACCCTTGCAAAATGTATTTTAATTTTGGTCAAAAGTGTGCAACGCAGTGAAGGAGACATCACCGACTCTACAAAGTATATATATTCTTGATCAGGATCACCTCCCTAGTTGATATAAGCATGTCCGTCTGTATGTTTCTACGCGACCTAGTCTCTCAATTTTTAAAGCTTGAAATTTGGAACACCCCCTTCTTTCCATTGCACGCAGTATATAAGTCGAAGCGGCCGGGATCGGCCGACTGACTGATTACTGATTGATTGGAAATGATATAATTTTGGCGTTTTTTGAGTAAGACAGTTGGGATTTTTTTTTTTGGCAAAATAATACCAACGTACCAAATTTCATAAGGACCCGCCGAATATATACTATAGCTGCCATACGAGGGCTGTTTGATAAGTAACCGACCTCAACGTGAAGCTAGCGGCACATCTGAAAAAAAGTTTCTACTTTAAATTGTGCCTATTATAATAAATACTCGCCAAAATTTCAAAAAAAATTTATCTTGTGCAATTATATGTTGACAGTCGTTTTTGTGAGTCTATTTCGGTGATTTCCCCAAAATGAAAAAAATTTAACATCGAGCTGTAATTAAATTTTTATTTTTGAAAGGCAATACGCCTTTCCAAATCAAAGATGAGTTGGACTCTGTGTATAGTAACTCTGCACCATCGTTTACCACCGTAAAATTTTGGGCAGGTGAATTTAAACGTGGTCGCAGGAGCTTGGAAGATTATGAACGTCCTGGGCGCCCAAAAACTGTAACCACTAACGATATCATCGCCAAAGTTTATCAATTGGTACTAGACACCGCCAGATTAAAGTTAGGGAAATAGCTGAGATTATGAAGATGTCAAAAGAACGTGTTTGTCACATATTAAAACAAGATTTGGGCTGTCCGCGCGTTGGGAGCCGCGTTTGCTTACGTTTGCGTTTGGAAATGAAAATTTCCAGCGCTATGTTGGCTCAGTTTAGAGGCAATAAAACCGAGATTTGGCGCCGATTGATAACTGTAGACGAAACTTGCGTTCATCATTATACGCCCGAAACAAAAATCCAATCCAAGGAGGAACCGGCCCCAAAAAAACATTAAACTGTGTATTCGGCTGGGGAAGTGATGGCGAGTGTTTTTTGGGACAGCCATAGAATTATTTTTATCGACTATCTTGAAAAAGAAAAAGTATAACTGGAGCATACTGCGCATCATTATTCGAACTTCATACAAATTTCATTTTATTCAGATGTTTTTTTTAATTTAGGTTAGTTGTTCCGATTTACCAAAATTTCATAACCATCGCCCGACTATTTCTGATAGCGGACTTTTTTCAGATTTTGTTTTGTAATTGGTTGTAATTGGAAATCAATTGGAAATCACAAGAGTTAAGTGGCATACAATTTATTTGCAATAACATCATTCTGTCCTCTTTTCAATCCGTTTTCAATCTTATGACCAGACTTTAATATCCCACAACTAAAGTGGTTTAACTAAAGTTTAACTTGTCCCTAGGTCTAATAAACCATGTTAAAAATTCCTCGTCAACCATCGAACTACCCAACTGAGCGGGAGTGTTTTTTCCGAGCTCCGGGAAAACTGCAACATAAAACAGCTAATCAAAAAAAAAAACTAGCAATCCAACATAAGCGAAAAGACGCTGAACCACAATTTATAAAAAGCAATAAACAAACTTTTTATAACAGTTGTGATGTGCTAAACCAAAACTAGTGCATTGTTTTAAATAAATAAGTGCCACGCAATGAGCTCATTGAGCAACGAGCAAGAGAACGAGCGTAGAAGTTCAGTGAACCAAAGAAACGGCTTCTACTCTTACTTTTCAACCCGCGATACCGAAGTGGAAAAATCGGCGATTAAGAGCAACCTGTCTTTAGTGACCGCTGAAACCCAAAGGGCACAGACCCGCTCTGCTCACTCCGATTCCCGCGTCATGGAGTTCGCAGTGTCAAGCCCGCCCTCCAATATCGGAAACAAATTTCGCACCAACAACTAGCAGTGCTACAATTTCTGCAATCACAGCGACAACCACTGCAATTCAAAGTACCACGACGTCAATGACTACAGCGAGTACAAAAAAAACAACTTTTCATCCTTATGAAATTTGAACTCTCTAACTTTAAAAACACCAAAGTTATACCATTTCCGATCAATCAGTTATATGGCAGCTATAGGATATAGTCGACCGATCCGGGCCGTTCCGACTTATATACTGCGTGCAAAGGAAAGAAGGATGTGTGCAAAGTTTCAAGACGATAGCTTTAAAACTGAGAGACTAGTTTGCGTAGAAACAGACAGACGGACAGACAGACGGACAGACAGACGGACAGACGGACATGCTCATATCCACTCAGGAGGTGATCCTGATCAAGAATATATATACTTTATAGGGTCGGAGATGTCTCCTTCACTGCGTTGCACACTTTTGACCAAAATTATAATACCCTCTGCAAGGGTATAATTACGCAAATGAGAGCACTTCAAATATTGACTCAATTTTTTTAGCAAAAAATTTCGTACTTAAAATTGAATACAAAAATTTCTATTCATTGGATCGAAAAAATCCTACGTCACTCTGTGGAAAATCTATGTAAGAAGATGTGTTTCAATTTTCAAGTCAATCGGTTGAACAGTTTTTGAGTTATCATGCCCACCGTCTTGGAAAAAGTGGTTTCGAGAAAAACGCAAAAGAAGAAAAAGAAGTGTCTTAGGTGCCCTCCTGCCGTGCCGATTTCAAATAAACATAACTTCCATAATTATCAAGATATTGTCTTCGGGGACGTCTTAAAATACGCGTAAGAATATAGTCTTTTAAATTAAGTAAAAAAAAATTGAAATTTTTTGAAAATTTCAGGATGGCGTAACCCCTTAAAAAATACTGAAAACATGCTTTTACTTAAATATAAAAAAACCTTCAGTAGTATAGATTTTTCAAGATATCTACTGGGTTAGGTTAGGTTAAGGCGGCGAGGCGGGGCCAGTCACTGACACCTACATCCCCTTGAGCCGCTGGGGCTCCTTGTGGTACCGCTCAGGCAAGAGGTCCTACATTGAGTCGGCTGCGCCCCAGCGCAGGGTATTAATACAGGAGGTGTGCGACTGTCTTTTCCTCTTCTAC